TTTCTGCTGAAGGGTCTAGGCCCGAAACGTCAGCCTCTCTGCTCCTATGATGCTGCTTGGCCTGCTGTGTTCATCCAGCCCTGCACCTTGTTGTCTCGGATTCTCCAGCATCTGCAGTTCCTACTATCTCTGATTCACATTTGAAGTCAGGTCAAATGCTGGTTTTCTCTCCAGTGATTAACTTTCAGCTTTCCCCGCAGGTCCATGCTCAGTTACTCCTTCCTGACACATCCTTCACAATTCCAAAAGGTTTCAAGGCTAAACATCTCTGGTGGAATTTTCCCCTCCTTAGTGCTGGCACGAAGGGGTAATTATTGAGCATATTAGAAACCCAAAGAACTGCAGATGCTGTAAAATCAGAAACAAAAACAAGTTGCTGGAAAAAGTTCAACAGGTGGCATCTGAGAAGAGAAATCAGAGTTAACATTTCGGGTCCGGTGACCCTTCCTCACTTCTGAAAACTTCTGTTTTTGTTTCTAATTATTGAGCATGTTAGGCCTGGAGAGATACTTAATAAAAACCAAAAGAATTGCGGATGCTGTAAATCAGGAAAAAAAAGGTTTTTTGGCTTTATAAGTTGAAGTCTTTCAGGTGCATATCCAAATGCCCCTTAAATGTGATGAGATTTTCTGCCTCTATCATCATTTCAGTGTTCTGAGGAAGGGTCACCGGACCCGAAATGTTAACTTTGTTTTTTCCTTCACAAATACTGCCAGACCTGCTGAGCTTTTCCAGTAACTTTGTTTTTTTTTTCCCTGGAGAGATACTCGCTTCCTTCTTGCTACCTCAAAAATTATGTGCTGGACAAGAAAGTCTGCTGGGGATTTTCTTGACTTGCCAGCAATTAAGGCCTTAAGTGATCAATTATCGGCACAACTAAGGACCTCAATTTGTCACCGTTCCAATTATCTGCCCTTTTGGTGGCTGATTTCCTGAGAAACCAGGGTGACCTACCTGCTGGGTTAGGGTGTGGGGCACGACCTTCATTCGCCCCAATCTGGGAGCAAACAGAGGCAAGGAAAGCCATCCCATGCCCTTGTGTCTAACCCTTCTCTGACCCTTCCTCTCTTCATGAGAACCAAAAGAAAACCACTTAGCTTCTCGCTGCTGGATCCTCTAACGTCCAGGCTTCAACCAACAGGCTTCAAGACCCAGAGGAGCTATAGACCTCTGATTGGTGGCTCATTCTGGCAAAGTGGGAATCTACTGGCAAAGCCGACAATTCATCGAGTGGATCACCAACAATTTGATTGGCTCATGATCAGAAAGCCTTCTTGCTCGTGCAGCAGAAAGTCAGCTACCTCTGATTCCACTCATCCCCACACTTTGGCCCTTACTCAGAGAATTGTGGCCTTAGTCTAATT